TGTTTTTGGGACTTCCCTGGCGGTCCCATGGGTAAGACTCTGTGCTCCCAATGCAGGGGGCCCGGGTTCGATCCCTGGTAGGGGAACTAGATCCCACATGCACACTGCAACTAAGAGTCTGCATATCGCATCTAAGAAGCCCGCATGTTGCAACTAAGAAGCCCACATGCCACAACTGAAAAAAGATCCCACGTGCCACAACTAAGACCCGGCGCAGCCAAAAACAAATAAATAATATTAAAAAAATAAATAAAGGTGTTTTTATCCAAAATCAGGGTAGAAGTCAAAATCCTCACACCTTTCCTGCCACCCTGATCTCTATGCAATTCTCAAAATAGCCAGCCACTCCTGCCTTAGGGATTAGGGCGTCTGCCAGGTTGCTCCTCTCCCGGAACACCTTCTCCTCAGATGTCCCCATTGCTCACTCCAGTGACGCAAGTTTTTGTTCAGATGTCACCTTCTCAATGAAGTCTACTCTGACAAGCTTATTTAAAATTGCAACTGCCCCTCATCCCATTTTCCCTGCTGCTTTCCATAGCGCTCCCCACTTTCTAATATACTACTGATATACTTCTAATACTACATATTATGTTTATTTTTCACTGTCTCTCTTCCTACCATCTCCACTAAACTGTAGCTCCGCAAGGGCAGAGATTTCGAATATTTTGTTCATTACCTAATAAATATTTGTTGAATGACGACAGCCATTTCCTGAGGTAGTGTGAATCCTAAAACTAAATTCAGAGCACCATCTAGTGTTCTTAGAAGGATGTCCTGATTAACTCTGAGACTTCTCTGCATCAGCCATGATATAAACAGTGCTGGTTTAATCAATTCTCTGTAACTGTTTTTTCACTGCCCTCTGTGGTTCCATAGAAAGTAAAATGATTTCAGTGATTAACCTGTCATGGGACTTATTGGTTTCTCTAAGAGCAACCTCTTCTCCACTGACTTGCCTATTGCTCCCCAGAACTTCTGGGAAGTAGGAATGTTGTGAAGATCTTATATCTTTTAATCTGAGGGCATCTCCCCTCCCCACACTGCCAAACACCAAAAAACAAAAACAGGGTAATAGCCTTTGCTGGTTTGGTACCTACACCATTTCTCCAGAATATCACTATATATATATATATATTGATTAAACATTTTTTGATTTGACCACAAAAGCCCCTAAATCAAAGTGAAAAAACACTAGCAAGGGTAATGGTAATATTATTTAAAATAGTATCAGGATTCTCTAAGACAATGAGGACAATCTTCTGATTTAGAAAATATTGGCTTCTTTAGTTATGATAAAGAGGGACAAATGAAGAAAATGAAAGCTGCCTTAAAAGCACTGAAACATTTAATATTTAAGAGTAAATCATGAAGGGAACACTTAGCTGATTTTTACTGGATGCTTATTGTGCCCAGCACTATTCTGAAAGCTCATTAATCACCTTCCCGACTCTATCACGTAGGTTCTCTATATTAAGCCCCATTTTTTAGATGACGAAATGGAGACACAGAGAAGTTAAGTAACTTGACTCAAGTCACAGAACTAGTAAAGGCCAGGATTCAAAGCCAGCTAGGCTGGCTCCACAGTCCATGTCCATGAGCTCACGCCCATGCATTTATTCACCTCCCAACAGAAACAGGAATGATGCTGCTTGGTTTCACAGCTCTTGGCTTGGTCAAAGAAATTAGTTCACAATGTCCTCATCTTCCAAAAATGAATCAAGGCAACCATAAAAGAAACAGGCATATACAATTATCCTAGAAATAAAGTTTTATTCTTTTCAGTCAAGAAAGTAGAAGCTATGGAATTTGCCTTTCCAAGGATTTATGTTTTAGCCACAAATTTGCAATCTAAGGATGCTGTGGCAAAGAGCAAAAGCAACATTAATATTAAGGTCAAAGACTAGAGGGTGGTTTGCAATGGGCACAATGAAGAATCGGTTGGTCCTGGCTGCCTACCCACCTCTTTTGGAACACACTCCTCAGAGCTTTTGATTCTACCCCCCAACTGCCCAAAGCTTCTCCCCACTCGACCACTGGTTCAAATGTTTTAGAGTCGATGGAATGATTCAGGTTCCCCAAATATCAATTAATATACTCATTTCTTGAATTTGGTTCATCTCAGCTAAATGCTAAGAAAACAGCTGAATTATCTGTTAAAGTGAGTCTCATTAAGGAGTGATTTATTAGGTAACATCTAGAATTATTTGCATTATATATTGTACTCTCAAAATGAGCATGAATTACCCCAGAATTTCAGATTGATGGAGTCTTTCAGGGGATGTTTGTAAGTGGGAAGATTCCCAAGCTCTCTCGGTGATTCTGGAAATGGTGCGCCTCTCACCATCCTCAGCTGGAACCAAAGACTCTTTCCTAAATATTTACTTGACCCTTTAAATTTTCTAAAATACAAGGTTATTTGGTAAAGGGAAATGGTTATTTTCCATTTTGGATAGAGTTTTTCATCATGTGGTTTGAGGATGACCTGCTTTGGATTCACCTGGGAGAGTCCCAGTCCTACCTCTGACCTACTGCATCAGAATCTTCAGCTGGGCTCAGTAATCTGCATTCTAACAACCTCCCCCAGATGACTTTCATGTGTGCATAAGTCTGGTAACCACTAACCTAAGGGGACAATTTTAAAAGGTAAAGCACCAGTGTCATTTGGGTTGTTGGATTCTTTCCTATTATATACCGCAGACCAGAACTTCAAGAGGTATCATGTAAAAACTTAATTATAAGAAGATCAAATATAATTTTAGGAGACTGATAATTAACAAATCTACTTACAAGACTGTATGTCTTTTTGTTGTAAATTATATTGTGAAACGTCTCAATGAATTCTTTGGTGGATGTGGTTTAATGCTGTCTTGCCTTCCATAAAATTAACCTGCTAGCCAGTTTTTACTATGCTACCCACACAAGTCTCCAGTAACCCTTGAAGCATTCTCTGAACAAGCCTCATTTTCTGTATAAAAGGAACCGAGTTTGGTCAACTGTACAGAACTTAGGCTGATTAAACTTAAACTGGTTATCAAAGGAGACTGCAATTCTGCAGTTTTAGAGGTGTTTTAAAATAGGAAATACAGTCATTTTTCTGGTTGAGCAGAGTGAACAGTAGCCTAAAGGTAGAGGATCCAAATGGAAAGCCTTTTAAGATTCTTTCTAGCTTTATAATTTGACTAAACTGCCTCTCCACCCAATTGAACATCAACTTGTTTTTTAATCAGCTGAGCCTGGCAAGAATTCCTTGCCTCTCTCTGATAATATAATAGCCTCTTGAGAATCCTTGTACAGTTTAGGTGCACGTAACATACAAAAAAGGAAACCATTTAACTTGATGATGATACCCCACCCAGACAATTCAGATACCTAAGATAATTTTTCATTAGAATTATTTAGTTTGGCCAAGTTAACTGGCCGAACCCCTTCAGCTGCACCATATAACTCTTCGCTTTGTTTTCACGTATCATTTACTCCTGATTCTTACCAATTGTCACTAACTTTCTTCTTCTTCACTTATAATCTAATTACAGTTCAACCAAGAATGTTACTTACCCTGAAAATCTTCCTTCTTTATAGCCAGGTTGCATGCCACTGTGCTGATAGACGAGAAATGTCGAAGGCCAGAGTTGTATTGCTGAGATCTGTATGATGCCAGGTACATCCAAGCAGCTGGGAACCAGTAACACTGTAAGAACTGACTCCAAACCACCTTTCAAAAACTAAAGATCTCTTCTACAGGGTGACTAGTTGATAAACAATCTAAGGGGAGAGCTCTTATTGAAAGTTTATTGAAATCTAAGGATTATTCTGTGAAACTATACTGCAAGTCTACCTGGTAAAACTTTAAAAACTTGATTCTATTTGTCCTTCAAGAGATCATGGTAAAATCTAGTATTTGAGTTTAAAATAAGTAACTTCCATTCCGGTTACTGTATTTGGATTTGTTCCACTGTACCTGGATTTATTCCAATTTATCTGTGGAATCGGGCAACTAATAATTTTTATTCATCATTTCTTATACTTCTTGAATGAAAATGGGATGGATTGGTGGGATTAATGGCTAGATATTTAGAAGATACTAGTGATTTTGCCATTTTCTCTGTATAATGATTCTTCTCTAAGGAATGTGGACATATAGAGATGGACAAAAGAGGCAGAAGTTCTAATCCAGACCGAGTTCTAGAAGTAGAGCTTCACTTTTCTTTCCTGTAAAAAAAGTTAGAGGCTGAAGAAGCTATTTAAAGATTCTTCCAAAACTTTAATAGAAATGCTAATCAGTTACCAGCATAATAAATCAGTGCACCCTGACTTTAAAAAGATGTTTTGTGATTTATAGGAAATATGGAAGTCTGAATTGTGGCATGTCAGTCTCTCAAGGCCAGGTAAGAACTGACGAATTGGCAGCAAAGTCATGTTTTTAACTGAATATACTGATATGCAAGTGCTCAGAAAAAAGTCTTACGGAGTCTACTGTCCACGAATTTACCAGAAAGCCAAGTTAACGACACAACTGATCGCTCAGATCTGAGTTAGCCAGCACCATTTTGCTGGAGAGGGGAAACTGGACGCTTCAGGCAGGTTTGGGAAGGTTATAATCTGAGGAAACTAAAGAAGGCGCCAGCAGGGAGGTCTCCTTCATGGTCTCTGACGAAAAACGTTGCGGGAGTAGTCAAACCGCCCCAAATTCCCCAGTGCTGTCCTCACTCGAGGCTCTGGTTCCAGGAGACGCACGCCTTGCTGGGAAGACGGTCCCCTACGATTTACAACCTACCGAGGGCCGCAGTAAGAGCCGCCTCGGCCGCCTCGGAGGCCCAAACTCGCAACCAAGCCCCGAGCAGTGAAGGAACCTCCGGGCCAGCCCCGTCGCGGTGACGGGCGTCGCCGCGAGCCAATGAGCGCGCCGGGAGGCGGAGCAGTCAGGCCAAGGGGGCGGGATTTCCCGCGAGGCAGCGCAGCCCCTTGGCGCCTGGCGAGGGCGGCAGACCCATCCAGAGAGGGCGGGTCGGGGTCAGCTGCTGCAGGCGGGCGGGCGCGGGAGCTGTGGGCGGCCGCCGCGTCTTTTGCTGCGGCCCTCCCTCCACCACGATGCCGGGGATCGACAAGCTGCCCATCGAGGAGACGCTGGAGGACAGCCCGCAGGTGAGGCGCGGGCGGCGGCGGTCTGCGAGGGAAGGAGCGGGGCTGGCCGACCCCAGGCCTGGCGCCGCCGCGGCCGCAGGTGCCAGCCCTGGCCTAGGTGGGCGCCACCCCCAAGTGCCCCCGCCGGTAGCGGGCGGCGCCCCGATCGCGGAGGCCGGGCCGCCCTACCGAGGCCCGCGTGGGCCTGCTCCGCTGGGCCGAGAGCCGCGCGCGGGGTCTGGGACGTCGGCAGGCTGCGACAGAGCCGCGGCCGCCTTGGCTCGTGGGCCCGGCGGTCACATACGCGCGCGGGGCTCCCTTGTATTTGACAAAAGATGCTTTATAATCGCCGTGATGTGAGGTGGTAAATCCCGATCCTGGAATTTTCTCTTCGAAAACCTCTTCGGAGAAAATGCAGAAGGAGAAAAGACCCCGTAGACTTAATGATTTCTGACCAAGCTAGGGAAGGAAATGGATAATTTTGGGGGGGGAGATGCTGAAAGGCTGTTGATATGCCCGTGCGTAGAGTCCTCGGCGAAGCCTCAAGGGTCCCGGAGCCTCTCGGCCGAGTGTCGTGGCCGTGAGTGTAGCCGCTGTCACTCCGACCATGCACGCCGAGTGGAGGACGGCGCCTTCGCGGTTCCACGACTGCTGCGCCCTCGTTGCAGACTTGGCTTTAGTAAACTCATCAAAATAAAAGCCCTGTGTTTTGTGCGTTGGGGATGATGCTAGTGTGGTTGCTCTAGCTTAAGATAGTCTAGGAACACGTAACCATTACTGATGTTTTCAGTACTGAAGAATGAAATCAGCGATGTTAAAAACCATGTTGGTAGGCGCTGTAACTTGCGTTGAGAAACTTCATCCCTAGGTCTGTCTCTTACACAATAAGGGATTTAAGACGGTGTTGCTGGTTGGCTACCACTAAGAATGAAGAAAATTTTCTGAAATGTTGTTCATTTAGAACTACAACTGCACATATTTCATGTGTCTTGACGGTTTAATATGACTCCAAAAGAACAGAAGGGAGGGGCTGGATCCCCCTTTACTGTATGATATGTCTGCCATGGATGTGGTGCCAGTTTTGATTGCCAAGTTGAAGTTGGGCTCTGATTGTGGAATTGATTTTTTTTTTTCACGCTGAAAGTTATCTTCACAGGCCAGTTGCCTGCTGGTAATGTACTCTTATCAGCCTGTATTGACACAAAGAGAAACTGACTTCTTGGCTTATTTTGACTGCCAGAATAGCCAGTTCAAATGCTTAACGATTTTTGTAGTATAAAGTCATAAGCTACATTTGTTTCAGATGTTTAGCAAAAATTTTGTGGGATGTATTGCTCAGGTGTACTTTTGTCATTTTACTTTTTTATTTTATAAGACTCAACAGGTGCCTTACCTTTCTTCTCATACCTGGGCTCGCTTTTATAGCTCATAAAGACTACACACTGCTCAGAATGGGTTACACAGTGCCCTAGCCATGACTTAGGAGGGTATAATCTCTTGACTCATCTAATTTCTTGAACTTTTCACACAATTAGTTTACAACTTGAGCTTCTTTTTTTACAAGCATGTGCTGTATTAGTATTAGTTTTATGGTAATTTTTAATGAAATAGCCACGTTGATAGTCTTTCAATTTCTAGAAGTAGTAAATTTGAACTAGTTAATGTTTACCTGGGAAAATTAATTGGGACAACTGGGATTTAGAAGGGTAAGACACTGAGAAGCAATTCTTGGGGAAAACCTGTGGCAAGATGGAAAGCCCTGGATTGGGGATTCAGGATATAAGGGTTTTAGTCATTACTGCCGCTTAGTACCTTCTACCTTAGGGCAAGTCACTTAACTTGTCTGAACTTCAGCTGTTATAGATAGTGAATGTTTTAATCTTTGTACTTGATTATAAAAGTAATAGTTGTTTGCTTCAGAAAAATTGGAAGATACAGAAAGCACAGTTACCTGTCGTGCGCCCAGCAGCAAACTCTGTTAACAGTTTGCTTTCTTTTTTCTAGTTTTTTTCTCTTACACATTCTAATGTGATTGAGATTATATTGCGCATAACGATTTTTATTTGGCTTTAACTACACATTGTAGCTTAAGTACCTTCACACATTATTACATACTGAATAAAAAATTCAGAGGTTGCACATTTCCTTGACTCACTTAATATAGTTGTCCTGTTGTTGGACTTTTAGAGTTTTTCCCAAGTTTTGCTGTTATATATAGTGCTAAGATTAATGCTTTTGGGCATCAATTTTTGTTCTCATCTGGACTATTTATCTAGGATAGAGTCCAAGAAGTTGAGTAACAAAGAGGAGGAAAACTTCTAAAGCTCCTGATAGAGATGTTTTTATTAGATTATTTGATCCTAGTCAAAAATGGCCTGTCAGTTGCTATGTAAAAAAGTTAGAGCCTGGGAGTCTTGAAGGACTACCCTGAATTACAATTATCCTTTTTTAGTTTTAATTTAAAGTAGCGAAGTATTAAAATAGGGGTATATTTGCAAGTCCAAATCCAGCTGATTGCACATAAACATCTTTAGAATTATCTTGCACAAACCATACCATACCATTCTGCAAAAGATACCATCTGTTGAAGTAGGAAATCTTAAGACTATACTAGATGCCTTATCAATGCTTATATATTGTTTTGAAAATCAGAAACAAAATTAAACTTTCTATTTCGTAAGAAAAGATATGATCTTTAAAAAAATAACTGATTTTATATGTAGATAAAAATCTTATCAATGATCCACCTAAGGCAGAACTGTGAAGGCAAACTCCAATCCCAAATGGAGGCTTTTCTCTTTGGCATAATATGAAATACTCAAAGATTATGAGATGTACTTTTTTTAAATTCACATTTTGACATCTCTTATATTGAGATGCCCCTTACACTTGATGTTGTTTTACTTGTAATTGCCTGCAAATGTACACACTTGGTTATTTCTCCTAGTGACATGAGTGGCTAAGTGCAGCCTTTTAATGTTCAGCCAACAAATCAATTCACAACCACTTGAAGGATTATCAGTCTTGTTTTTTGTCTGAAAATATTTCTTTGACAGCTAGTAACATGCAGCAAGTGCTGCCATCAAAACTTGCTGACTGGGTATCAATAATTTGGAAGAAAATATTGGAGATAAAAGTGGAGCACTTCTGAGAAATATTTGTCACCTGCTCGTGGCACAGAATAATATTGGATGTGAAAACATGGCTAGCGGTGTCTCTTATGTCAAAAAATTACCCACAAGAGTTGAAATTTTAGGGTTATATTAAATTTGTGCAACTTGTGTTTTCTTTTTTGTGTTTATATGAGAGTTATATAAAAAATTCTGTCAAAGATCTGTTTCCATAAATATAAAGTAAAAACTTCAGGACATTAGAAAACCTGAATTCATAGCTTAATTGCCAGCATTGTTTTGTTTGTGACAGTAGTATATTAAACTGGCACAGCTCACAGTGGATGCCGTCATAGATTCAATGAAATGGTACCATATTGATTGCATTTTTGTAAGCTGCTAACTTTAAACAGTCATTATACAGTGTTGAACTCAATCTTATTAGCTTTACATAAGGAAGCTGTTTCAACCCTGTTTGAGGCTAAGAACATCTTTTTAATTTAAGTCCACTACACATTTTTGCATAAATGTGTTATTCCTTGAATTAGAATGCTAATTTTTGAAGAAAAAAAAATGTAAGTGGCACACTTTTCTTAAGAATGGCACTAGCGAAACAAGATTTCATGATGCTTTCTTTTTTACATCTTAAAATAGCACTTGGGGAATGGCAGTAGGGCACTAGAGCTAAAAAATAAAAAGATTCTGCCAGATCTAAATCTCTGGGGCATTGGGAAGTAGAGGATTGAGATAACTTGGACTTCATATACTGGCATAATGATTTTGCGCTGCTTTTTAAAACAACCATAGTGACTTAGCTTTCTCTTCTGAAAATAGGAAGCTAAGGAATAAGTTGATTTTTAGAAACCAGCTTCTAAGGCTGAGGTGTAAATTAACTATTTGTAGAATAAAAGTACAAGGTCATCTTTTAGATTTTAAGCTGTAGTTATCTCAATAATTGTTGGAATTTAATTCTTATCCTGCCTTTGGGATATAAAAAGGTGAACATACTTTGCCTTTATGCTGAGTTTCCTTATCTCTGATCCTTTTTATTGACAGTCTTAACATTTACTGACTGACAAGTTTTTACTCTTAAAGTGAAGGTAATTTTTACACGCTTATGCTCATTGTGGGGAAAAAAAAAAGCCTAACAACATAGAAATGTATAAAGAAGAAGAAAAATGATTCCAAATTCTGCACTCAGAAAAAACCTAGTTAGCATTTTACAGGCCATGTTGGGGAGGGGAAAGGGTACTATGATGTTATTTTGGATTATAATGGGGAGGGGGTTGGCACTACTAGAAGAGACTATGGAGAAAGAGAAATAACCAGGGACTTCCCTGGTGGCGCAGCGGTTAAGAATCCGCCTACCAATGCAGGGGACACAGGTTCAATCCCTGGTCCGGGAAAATCCCACATGCTGCGGAGCAACTAAGCCCGTGCACCACAACTGCTGGGCCCACGTGCCGCAACTACTGAAGGCCGCGTGCCTAGAGCCTGTGCTCCGCAACAAGAGAAGCCACTGCAATGAGAACCCCATGCACCGCAACGAAGAGTAGCCCCTGCTTGCTGCAACTAGAGAAAGCCGCTGGGCAGCAATGAAGACCTAACACAGCCAAAAAAAAAAGAGAGAGAGAGAGAGGGAAATAATCATACTAAGTTATCCTGAAAAAAGATATTTAAAATATTTATACATAGAATACTGTTAATATAGCCTTGACTGATTCTGTAGATTTGTTCTTAATTACAGACTTTTTAATTCATAAAAATATACCTTTGTTGTTCCTTCTAAGGTTTATATAACATGGTTGGAAAATCTGTTTTAATGAAGTGAAATTGAGAATAAAGAACCCTAGCATCTTGGCATTACTATCAAAAGAGAGAAAATAGATCAAAACTCAGAATTGTTAGAGTTCTGATATCCTGTGATTTTTGCACCTTTTAGGAAAAAAAGATTTCCACTTGATTTATATAGTGGTTAACATAAACTTACTGCTTTTATTTTATACAGACAAGGTCTTTACTGGGTGTATTTGAAGAAGATGCTACAGCTATTTCCAACTATATGAACCAGTTGTATCAAGCTATGCATCGGATTTATGATGCACAGGTAAAGAACTAAAGGCTGACTCAGTGCATTTATAAAATAAATCTTTAAGCCCATGAGGACAGAGATAGTGTCTGTCTTATTTACTGGTGCCTAGCCCTGTCCAGGGTGCTTAGTAATAAACATTTGTTGAATGGATGAATGAACATTAAGTATTTTGTATTACAGAGCTTACATTTCAATTACTAGTGTATAGTTTGTAGCACTACAAAAGTGATGAAGATTGAAGCATCTGCTCCTTTTCCCCAAACATAGTAAGGACTTTCTTAGTGAAACTCATTGATAGTGATCTTTGCGTAAGATTTGACTTAAAACCCTGTATTGTCACCAGTATTTTCCCTAATCGTGCTTTTAATCTTATGGGATACTTCCCCTTTTTGAGCAGAGGATTTGTAAGTAGCTAGCCTCTATCTAGTCAGAAGGTAATAGATATAGCTCTAGTAGATATAGCTATATCTATAGAGTAGATATAGCTCTGGGGTACTAGGAGATGAATTTTAAAAGGATGTGACTAGATTATTTTGGTTGAACAGGCATAAGATTTGAGGCTCTGTTTATGTAACTTAATTATAAGCCTTAACAGCAACCTGGGTTCTATGATAAACTCTCTTTGGGGTTAATTAAGTGTACAAATTTCTTTTTTGCCCCTTCTCAATTTCTCTTCTTTCTGGACTCAAATTTTCATTATGTACTTTACAGTTACTGTGATAGTTACTTATTTATTTTTCTTAGTGATAGGTTGCTCAAGAATTTGATTTCTGACCACACAGATTAATATGTAAAAGAAACATTACATGTGTCATTATATTCATCACTGAAAAAAACCCTTTAAATTAAAAAAAGTATTTCCTTCATATGGCTACATTGCTATATGGTATGACTAGGTCGTATGGTTGTATGTTATTAAATGCTTCTCATGGTCTAGTATCAGCATCTAGAGAGAGGGATAATCAGTTATCAATGTAGACTCTCTGAAGATTCTGGCTAACATTTTGTACAGTTTACTTCTAGCTTTAAAGCTTTAACTATTCGTTTTTATTGGCTAAAAAGAAAAAGCACACACCTGGGACACTGCTGAATTCCTTGATGGTGTCTATTTCGTGGTTTGAGTTTTCCTTTAAAGTGCTTAGTGGTAGTTCCCTTTCCAATGGCTTAATGAGGGGTTTTGAGAACATGTTGTACAATATTTATGTTAAGTGATAAATAAAAGTGGCATAGGAATCTTCAATTAAAACTTTTTTCTTAATCTGTACTACTGTGTTAATTTGAATGCTCATCTTCTCCCGTAGAATGAATTAAGTGCAGCAACACACCTGACTTCAAAACTTTTAAAAGAATATGAAAAACAGGTACTATATATGAAAGTTTTAAAAGTATAATTTAAAATATGCAGTGATACAGTATCTGTATAGATAAATAGAATTTCTTATCAATAATTCTAAGCCTTTTGGGATTCACAGAAGGTAATTTTGATATGCCGTTGAAATTCCGTCATGCACTTATATCTAATTTTAATGATTTAATGTTAGACACAGAGGTTATCTAATTTACCTCTCTCTTTTCAAATGAAGAAACTGAGGCTTGCTCAAGGTTACACAGCTGGCTAGTAGAGAAATTGGAGCTAATTTTAAATCCTTGAACTAGTATGGTGTGCATTCCTGTACACCATGTTGATTGGTCACTTAGCAAACATTTTAATTAATGTGTACTACTTATATGAATTACATTATTTTATTAAAATGATGTTTTTAGAGCTTATTCAAAATTTTAGAAGTTTTCTGAAGTTATTTAAAAATTAAAAATTATAATGTCACTCACAAAAGACATACAGCATTGGACCTTTACCTCATCTCTGTTTCTCACTTTTCAGCGTTTTCCACTGGGGGGTGATGATGAAGTTATGAGTTCTACTTTGCAACAGTTTTCAAAAGTTATAGATGAGGTAAATGCTTATTTTATTTTGCTTGGATAAGTGATCTTATAATTAAGTTACTGAAGTTGTTTAGCTTTTATTGGGAAGTTTTATTATTAGGATTTTATGAGTAAATCTCAATGATAAAAGATTACTATTTAAAGAAGGGCCTTATTTCCAAATCTTGGTGGCTGTCTTGTAAAAACAACACTATCTTTGTCTTATTAAAGCAAATTGTTTTCAAGGAATAAGCATATAGATGTGCTGTCTCTACTTTCATGTACTATTCAGCCTTTAATTGTGTAGTTTCACATAGGCAGGGAGAGAAGAGTTAAGCTGTTAGCCATAGCTGGGCTCTTTATGGTTTCTCTGTTTTTTACATTGAGCAGTATTTTACCATTCATTTCATTAATCCTTGCTTCCCAAACAACCAATACCAACCCTTAATTTCTCTACCAGTCAGCAGAACAAATCATTAAGACCTAGAAGCCAAGAGGAAGCAAGGTGGTGAGAAATGTTCAGAGAATCCATCCATAACTATTTTGTACTACTGCAGTGAAAGCTCTTCTTTTCAGATGAGCCATTAGGTAGTTCTGTCTTTTCTAGTCTCTTAACTGGAAAAGTAGTTTTTTGAAATATTTTAATAACTCATCATAGCAAAATATTGTCACAGGATATCAATTTAAAGAAATATTTATAGGAAATGGAATTTTTTTGTGTGGTAAAATATACATAAAATTTACCATTAATGACATTTCGCACATTCACAATGTTGTGCAACCACCACTGATGTTCCAGAACATTTTCATCACCATCCCAAAGGAAACCTACTAGGTGCCTATTAAGTAGTCACTGCCTCCCTCCCCTCAGCTCCTGGCAACCACAAATCTGCTTTCTGTCTGTATGGATTTGCCTGTTTTGGATATTTCATACAAATGGACTCATACAATTTGTGGATTTTTGCGTCTGTCTTCTTTCACTTGGCATAATGTTGTCAGGGTTCATTCATGTTGTAGAAAGTATCAGAATTTCATTTTTTGTTTTTATTTTGTTTTGCTGAATAAAATTCCATTGTATGTATACCACATTTTATTTGTCCATTCATTAGTTGACAGACATTTGATTTGGGTTGTTTTCCATCTTTTGGCTAATGTGAACAGTGCTGCTGTGAGCATTCATGTACAAGTTTTTTGTTTTTGTTTTTTCAAACGCCAGTTTTCAGTTTTTTGGGGTATATACCCAGGAGGGGGAATTGCTGGATCATAGAATAATTTTACGTTTAGCTTTTTGAGAAACTGCCAAACTGTTTTCCACAGCTCTTGCACAATTTTACATTTCTGCCAGTAATGTAGGAGTGTTCCAATTTCTCCACATCCTTATCAACACTTGTTATTTTCATTAATTTTTTTTACTATAGCCATCTAAGTGGGTATGAAGTAGAATCTCATTGTAGTTTTTTTTTCTTTTTTTTTTTTTTTTTGTGGTACTCGGGCCTCTCACTGCTGTGGCCTCTCCCATTGCGGAGCACAGTCTCCGGACACGCAGGCTCAGCAGCCATGGCTCACAGGCCTAGCCGCTCCGCGGCATGTGGGATCTTCCCAGACCGGGGCACGAACCCGTGTCCGCTGCATCAGCAGGCAGACTCTCAACCACTGTACCACCAGGGAAGTCCCCTCATTGTAGTTTTGATATGCATTTTCCTGAAGGCTAATGATGTTGAGCATTTTTTCCTATGCTTATTGACCATTATATATTTGAAAAAGTATCTATTCAGACCTTTGCCCATTTAAAAAAAAATATGTTTATTTTTTCATGTTTATTTTGCTTTACTTTTTTTGGCCGCGCCTCACGGCTTGTGGGATCCCAGTTCCCCGACCAGGGATTGAACCCCGGCCCTCGGCAGTGAGAGCAAGGAGTCCTAATCACTGGACCACCAGGGAATTCCCTGCCCAATTTTTAATTGGGTTGTCTTTTAGTACTGAGTTTAAGAGTTCTTTATTCTAAAGGATACAAGTCCCTTATCAGTTATGTGATTGGTAAATATTTTCTCCCATTCTGTGGGTTGTCTTTTTATTTTCTTGATAGTATCCTTTGATGCACAAAAGTTTTCAATTCTCATGAAGTCCAGTTTATATTTTCTTTGTTTGCTTGTGCTTTTGGTGTCATATCTTAGAAACCACTGCTAAATTCAAGGTTATCACATGTTTTCTTCTGAGAGTTTTAAATGGAATTTTTTTGACTGTCACCTAATGATGTGATAACATCACATAATTTTAGGGTTCCCTTATGTAAATGTATCCGTACCTTTTTTAACTTTTTGGCCGCACCACTTGGCATGCAGGATCTTAGTTCCCCAGCCAGGGATCGAACCTGTGTCCCCTGCCATGGAAGCACAGAGTCTTAACCGCTGGACTGCCAGGGAATCCCTATACCAACACCTTTTTACTAGGTTTTGTTCAGTTTCCATAATGCTGGTTGATTGTCTCTTTGTAGTTATTTGGCCTTTTTGGTCTTTCTTTTACCAGCTTAGCTCTTGTCATGCGGTACTTTCAACGCAGCTTGCTGATGCCATGATGTTCCCCATTACCCAGTTTAAAGAAAGAGATCTGAAAGGTATTGAAGTCAAGCTTATGTTTACTTTCATTAGCTGTCGGAAGATCACTGCTTGTAAAATGTGTAATACTCTATACCTTAACCATTTCTGACTGTAGCAAGTGTCACTTTTACTTTAATTAGTTGCTAAACATTTACAGGAGCTCCTGCTAGATGTTAAGCTAGATACTGAGGAGTACTTATATGAATAAGATGTCACATCCCTTGAGAAAGCCCAGAGAAGGAGATGGGTAAACAGATAATTCTGGTACTCTTATAATTAGGGATGAGCAAGGTGCTGTGGGGGCTCAGAGGAGGGTGTCAGAAAGGCTCCCTCATGGATGTGCCACGAGCACTGAGCAAGGAAGAAGAATTTGCCAGGAGAAGAGAGTCACTGTTCTACTGGAGGGACCAGAAAGCACAGAGTTATGGGTAGAAATGCATGTGTTGTTTTGAGAAATTGAGTGTGGCTGCAGTGTTGGATGTGTTGGGGGGATGGCGGGAGACAACTCTAGAAATAGATTAGTTGGGATTAGATCATGCTAAAGATGTTGGACTTGAGTTTATAAGCAAAGAGAAGACAATGGAGGTCTTTAAGAAGTATACCTTTGTTTTTGGAGGATGGATTTGATGCTAGGAAGTTGTGACACTCCAGTGAGGTGTGACCAGGGCCTGAACTGGGACAGTGGCACAGGAGATGAGGCATGTTGGTGGGCTGGAGTGGTGGGAGGTAGGGGCTGGTCCATCTAACAACCCATGTTTCAGTAGCTTGTGGTGGCTTTCTTTTTTTCCCATTTAGGATTATTATGTGATAAAATGAGAGCGTTTATAGACTTGGCTCTGCTTTCTTATAATTTACAATCTCAGACAATCATACAGACTTATTTACAAAGTATGTATAGATAGAGTAAAAACATTGTACTAATGTATCAGTGGATGATAAAGTATTTAAATTATACATGGAATAAAGACCAATGTATTTTAGAGATAGAATTAATATTTGTCTTGGTACTCTTCAAGAATAATCTTTTCCAAGGTCAAGAAACAAGACCTCTTTTCTCCATCTAAGGGGACTGAATATCATAATCTTGTCAATAAAATGTTCTTTTTATCATTCAGCGTTTGAACTTATTAGAGTCAGTATCAAAAAATCAGTAGGTTGCATTCTGGTACTAAATCAGAACATTTGTATATCTTAGAATTTGCAGTGTTGTTTTTTTTTTTAAATTTACTTATATTATGTATTTATTTTTGACTGCGTTGGGTCTTGGTTGCTGTGTGCAGGCTTTCTCTAGTTGTGGTGAGCAGGGGCTACTCTTCGTTGCGGTGCACAGGCTTCTCTTCTCTTGTTGCAGAGCATGGGCTCTAGGCATGCGGGCTTCAGTAGTTGTGGTGCATGGGCTCAGTAGCTGTGGCTCGCGGGCTCTAGAGTGCAGGCTCAGTAGTTGTGGCCCACGGACTTAGTTGCTCTGCGGCATGTGGGATCTTCCCAGACCAGGGCTCGAACCCGTGTCCCCTGCATTGGCAGGCGGATTCTTAACCACTGCGCCCCCAGGGAAGCCCTGCAATGGTTTTAAAATTTTGTTTTTGGGTCATATTACAATTTGTGGCAGGTACAATTTCTGGTGGTGTAACTTGTTAATGATAGTAAATGTTAGGCTAGTTGAAACACAATAACTTTTTCACTTTAAACATTGAACTTTTGAAATATTTGGAGTTTTAATAGTAGCTTAAATGGCAGTTACTGTTTTCTAAACAAAATTTAAGATAGTTCATAAATATGCTAAACTGAAATTATTCTTGAACTTTTCCAGAAATATTGACATTAAAGGAAGTGTTTCAGATTGCTAGTAATGGTAAGCTCTGAATACTTTGTACATTTATTTCTTGTATTGATGCATTTCTTTATCAATACAAATCTGTGGCCAGATTTTATGTAATAATTGAAAAGAATGAACCTAATTAAAAGTTTAAGTGAATATTATTTAAATCCTTGTTATTTAAGTTGCACTATTTATGCTAGAAGAAATATTTTAAAGGAAGTTAAATCTTGTGGTTTGTTATCTTCATAATACCTAAGAAGGCGGTATATTTTCCCTTCCTTATTTTCCTGTCTATTCCATATTTTCTTTAATGAGCATTTGCTATTTCTGTACTAAAAAATACTTCAAGAAACTTTTAGTGGACTACTGTTTCCTTGGAATTAAATGTTTTTACCAATTTAATAAACAGAAACATACTTTAGGGGGAAATTTGGCTGTGGGGAACATTTGGGTGGAGTGATCACATAGTAGGGAATTCTTATTTTGCTTTAGTACATTTGTTGAAAGATGCACATGTGAAAACCATTAAAGCACTTAAAGGTTTTGCAAAGTACTGTTGTATTTTTGTTAATAGTCATTTCTGTTTTCCAGATCATGATGCTGCAATTAACAGATATAGCAGATTGTCAAAAAAAAGAGAAAACGACAAGGTGTGATACATATTACTCCTTCAGTATCACAATTAACAACTGTTTCATTAGGTGGTCTCCTTTTTCCAGTTTAAAAATGGTAGCCAGCAGTTGCTTTGTATGCTTTGCTGTATTGCCCTTAGTTTATTCTTTCCTTCTAGTTATTTCAAAGCCTTTCTGTTAATTGTTAATTATCAGACAATTAATAATTGTCTTTTTAAACAAAATATTTTTCTGTTGATAGAGTTTTATAAGTAAACATAACTATTCCAAAAATGTAATTGATGCCCAGGTGTAACATTGCCTCCTTTTGCTTTGTATTTTGATAACACTGCATTTGTTTTATATATGTATTCAAAAGTGTGTTCTGATATACAGTGGTTAAAAAGTTGAATTGTTACATACATAATTGAATGAAATTCTGTTTTGAAGACCTCCTCATTTACAGGGAATATATATATATATATATATATATATATATATATATATTTTATGATTCTTCAAGGAGTGAAATTCAGAAATATTATACTACATTTGAGGAGAAATGCATTTGAGTAAAGAGCAAAGAACAGAGTATTAACAAGTTCATCTAGATGCTCCTTAAGATCATTTCTCTCTCAGTGCCTAGTCCAAGGCTTGATCAGAGTAGGCCTCCTCTAGATGCTTGTGAGCGAGGTGGTCTCTGTGCCCAGGAATTGGCGTCTGCAGCCTTGGCTGCGGCTGCTGGTAGGGACACAGTGACCACTCTGGGAATCCACAGTTGGGTATGATTACTATGCAACAGCCACTGTGACCCAAAAAGGGAACGTTTCTCTCACAAATTCAGTACAAAGATCTGCTTTCACTGATTACTTGATGGTGCAAATATTTATAAAATACATACATTTTTAGATCTACATTACTTTGTTACTTTGCCATAGAGAAGCAGTTAAGGCTCTAAGTATGAACTTTGTTTTTACATTGCTTCTGGCTGTTCCAGGTATTTTTAAATACATTCTTCCACTAATTCAATTGATTTGAAAAATTTATTGAGCACCTACTACGTGTTGGGTACTATGGGGGAACAATGTGAGTAGGCTCCACCTCTGCCCTCAAGGAGTGGATAATCCACATCTATCAAAGGCTTCCTGTATGAAGGCATGTGACTAGAGCAGCTGCCAGAATACAAGGATGAAGAGAACACATGAATTAACACTGAGTTAAGTGCAGTAAAGAAGTCTTAACAAAATGCTGGGAGAGCAGAGAGAGGACAGTATATCTTTGATTGGTAAGTTGGGAAAGGTTACACTTTAAGTACCTTAAGCAGAAAAAACAGGAAAAGAGAAGAGACAATGTATGTTACGTAACAGGTGCTCAATAAATATTTGTTGTCTGAATACAAGAACTCAAGGGACATAGTTTAAGTGTGGGTGAAGGAAAACAAGTACAAGAAAAGAGGAGCAGTAGGGAGAGAACCAGAGAACTAGGAGGCAAGTGGTATGCTGTGAACTGAAAAAGGTCAAAGATTAATGACTAAGCTAATACCAGACTGTTGTCTGCTTTTCCTCCATGTGGTAGACCTTATCTGCCATGCTTAGTTTAGTTACTATAGCTACTATAGTTACTATAGTTCATAGCTATGTGTAGAATGCTGCTTTTAATGTGCATTTTAAAAAATAAAGTGGTTGGTAGTAAAACAGGAAAACTATCTTAGCCAATATTCTGCAGGATTTCTATCTCAGAAAATAAGACAGCTATGTACAATTGCTGGTGATGCACCTTTTTCCTTGGGTAGTCTCTTCCCCTCAGCCACTACTAAAGATAATTCAAAATTAAATAAATAATAGTATTTTTAATCTTTCACTCAAAGGTGAAGTATGAAGTAACAGAAGATGTCTACACTTCCAGAAAAAAACAACACCAGACCATGATGCATTATTTTTGTGCATTAAATACTCTTCAATACAAAAAGAAAATAGCATTGTTAGAACCTCTACTTGGGTACATGCAAGCTCAGGTGAATATTGTACTATGTTCTGGATTATAACTGTCTTAAGAACTTTATATTAAGTTTGATTTTTATGTTAAATGTAAGGATATTACAAACTAAGGTCAAATACTCATTTGTGTCTGTGATTTTAAAGCATTTTTTAAAATGTCAGAGTGCTGTTTTAAGGAAGTTAGGGAGAAGGGTTTTCCTAGCAAATGAAGATTTCAAATATTTTAGGGTAGATGAAACCACTTACCTTGTATTTAGACCTTGCCTATCACAGCTGGGGACAGGGAACAGAAAGATAAATGAATTCCAAAGCTACTCCTATTGCTCAAGCTTCCACTCACTCTTGCTTCATAATAGATCTGAAAGAGAATGGACATGTTTGAGCTTGTCTCATGTTCCTGGCATACTTCCCGAGTTAAAATTAATGGATGAACTCCAAAGTATTCCAAGAGTTGTACATCAGGAAGGAGGCTAGAAAATTAAATTTGGGTAACGTAAGATGAAATAGCAGTCCCCTAAAAGCAAGAGTTTAAAGAAATTTGAATATTCCTTTGAATATGAGTACTTATTATTCCTCAGATATAAAACTTATCTTTGTAGTAAACATGAAATAGTTTATCCATATGACTTACTTGAAATATTTTAAAATATATTTTCCAATTTTAAAAACTTGCTTACTATATGCATGTGTTAATATATAAGATGATGCACAGTGAAATTTAAGTGTAGTTTCTTCAGTGGCTCTATGCCCAGTAGAAATCATTGTAAACTACAACCTATTTTTACACAGATGGAAATAATCCTTTGTTTTTTACTTAACTATGTATCTTGGTGATTGTTTATATGATTCACTCTAAGTATTTTGTGTGTATGTGTTTCTGTTGTTCAACCTCCCATTCCCACACCCTCTTGCCCCAGATAAGTTTCTTTAAGATGGGCTCTGAAAATCTCAATGACCAACTGGAAGAATTCTTAACTAATATTGGAACAAGTGTACAGAAGTAAGTATTTTCTTCCTTAAAATTGAAAATGAAGTTATGAGAATGATAAGTTAACAGCTAAATACCATAATCTAAAAATATTTACCACTTAATTTCTGAGGGGCTATTTTCCCTGCCGTGAGAGTGTTTCTCGAGTGGCTCGTGGATGCTTCTTGGTTTTCTCACCATCTTTTCCACAGAATTTGAACTCTGAATTTCATAACAGTGTCAAATCTGATGGTATTTTATTGATTGTAACTAGGTTTTATGTCTGAATACAACAGACACATAATAATTATCCATAAGTGAATTATCTTCACAGTTATCTGAATTGTAGGGGATGGATGGGAGAGTACTAAATGAATCTTGCTTTGCAAACCATGAGAGATTAAAGAGACAGAGAAAGTAGTTCTAATCAGGTTCGAAGTCTGAGCAGTGATGTGGTTAATCTGCCATATGGAGGGAGATGAAAATGATTGTTTTAAACGCACAGGGCAGAGCAGTTTGAAAATTCCTCCAGAGTATGAGTCATTCAGTGTGGCTTCATTAGTTTTGGAATTTGGTATTGTTACCAAATATCTAAGTTTCAAATAAAATGTAAAGCTGCTTTATAACACGCCACTTTAACCACCCATGCCACTGCTGTTCTCTTTAGGAAAATATATACAGAACAAATATACAGATAAATAAGATTGGTAAGGAGTTCTTTGTCTGTTGTAGTTGGTAGTAAATAATCTGTTCCCTCTGTTAGTGTTCGCAGGGAAATGGACAGTGATGTAGAGACCATGCAGCAGACAATAGAGGATTTGGAAGTAGCCAGTGACCCCTTGTATGTGCCTGACCCAGATCCCACAAAATTTCCTGTTAATCGAAACTTAACCCGAAAGGCTGGATACCTTAATGCTAGGAAGTAAGAAAACTATTGTTATTTTCATATATTGTGTATCAATTAAGGTAATAGCAAGTGAATATAATAAATGATATCTCCAAACTGTTCTGATTTTACTAAATGTTGAAACTTTTTACTAATACACTATTAGTATTTATGCCAACTTTTTGACAGATGAGGTACATGAATAATTTTCAAAAGTAAAATTCTATTTAGATATTTATCAAATGATTTAGAATTATTTTAAAAAGTGAAACCAATTTGAGTTTAAATAAATCTAGAATAACATGTGAATGCTATTAAATATCATTATCATACTTTAAAATATATGTAATTACACCATCAAGTCAAATTTTAGTTTTTACCTGAAGATAGGATAAAGCAAGTTAACTCTAGCAGTAAAATAAATTGTTTTGAATTTATTCCCTTGAAATACAGTTGGACTGTATTTTATGGAGCATCATAACAGCTGTAATTTGATCATTTCCAGCCTTGTTTTGGAAATATATACATGCAGAATCACACAAGTGGGTCAGTTTATGTGAATTTATTTTAGAGACTGAAAACCTGATGTTTATATTTTCTACGCACCTTGGTGCCTTTTTGCAAGGTGGTTCTTTGTGATGTGCTTTACCTTTATCTTGTGTCTGGCTGATGGTGGGATTTTAGGTGTGTTGTTATTAAAGAGTGAATGTACTTTCTTCATTTAGTAAAACAGGCTTGGTGTCATCTACCTGGGACAGACAGTTTTACTTCACACAGGGTGGAAACCTAATGAGTCAGGCCCGTGGGGACGTAGCAGGAGGCCTGGCCATGGACATAGACAACTGTTCAGTAATGGCTGTGGACTGTGAAGACAGGCGATACTGTTTTCAGATCACTTCTTTTGATGGCAAAAAGTTAGTATTTTTCCCTACTATTAAAAAAAACCTGTCATATTTTAAACTACTGAAATGTAGGATAATTCCTTTTCACTTGGACATTGTATACATATGTTAGAATTATTATGTATTAAGATAATTTTCTTTTTAATCTTGTAGAAATTAGTTGAATTTTCCTTTTTGACTTAGATAAATGATGTCTTAATATTTTGAGGTTGTCAAAGCAAGTTTATGTGGTAAACACCTGGGATTTCATGTTAAGAGACTGGTCACTGAAAATCCAGCATGGTATGGGGAAGGTAGCACAAGCTAGTGGAAAGAGCTCCAACCTTGGGGTCAGAAAGTTCAAATTCTGGATCCACTACCTACTTTGCAGTGTTAGACAAGTTACCTGACCTCTCTGAGCTTCATTTTTCTACATGTAAAATGGAGGTGGGGGGGGTCCTTCATTTCTATTTTGTGAATTGTTATGTAGAATAGAAATCTAACATATGTAATGTGCCTAGCATGTAGTAGGTGCTAATAATAATATTTTTAAGTGTTAATCACATATTTCTGATCAAATTAATTATTTAGGCCATTAATGTTTACGTGCCATTTTTTAAACTTCTATTACCTTTGCATTAAACAAGAATCCCATAGAGCAGCTTTTAAAACAAATTTTTGAGAAGCACAGAACAATACAAAAAGATGTATGAAAAAAAGCTATAATCTCATTAACCAGAAGCAATAATTAACTTTTTGGTCACTGCCTTACAGTTTTTATTTTTTATTCTAAGTACATTTTTAAAATAGCTGAGGAAATACTGAATGTTTATTTCATATTCCTTCTATAAACAAACAATGAATGTCAATTACTGTGTGTCATTTATCACACTGGATGTTGGGAGTCCCTTTGTTCATTTGTCAAAATTACCAAACTGTTAACGTTACTGGATGTATTTACATTTTTGTATTTCCAGTTTTTTGCTATAATGCTTAACATGATTTCCCATTTCACATTCCTGGTGTGATTCAAAATTAGTGAAAAAAAATTTTTTCTAACGCTTAAAATATTAACATCTATAGAAAAGCTACATATCCCTATGTTAGCGATTAATATGTTGAAAAGTTTTACTTAACCATATTCAAGGAAAAATAAATAATGAAGTAAAATTAGTATTTTCTATTAGGACCACTGATTTATGTTTGAAATATATATGGTAAGTGTCAGAAAGTTGAAATGCATTGTCTTAGTGTCAATGTACCTTTGTTATAGGCTGCCTTCTGAAAACCAGCACATTTCTTTTTTGGTACATCTTGGCATAGATAGACAAAGTCAAGAGTTGTTAAAATCTGAGTCCTGATACCTCTGATAGTCTCCTTTCCTTAAGATACTGGTTGGTTATGTGTTTTCTCTTTGTTTCATACTGATGTGTATCTTTAAAGATAAAAATTTCTCACTCATGTTAAAAGTACTTTAGAAAAAAGTTGACTGTCAAACTTTTTCTCCTTTTTTTTCAGGTCTTCAATTTTGCAAGCAGAGAGTAAAAAAGACCATGAAGAGGTAAAATTTTATCTACTTAATTTCTTCAGCATCATCTTAAGATATTTTTCTGATGACAAAACATATTGATGTGTTCATTATAGAAATTTGGAAAATCCTAGTTAATTACAAATCTTTTTTTCAAAAAAGTCTATTGTCCTCAAGCAACATTCTTAAGTTTCACATGGAATTTTACAACTGGACCTATAAGGAGAGACCTTAGAGATCATTTCTTGCTGTCTTTTTAAAGGCTCAAATTCAGAAATGACCTTGTGACTGCTGCTTTCTGGCAGGCTGTTAGTATCATGAGGCGAGTTTAATCTACTCCCTTCTCTTACCAACTCTCTGAGACAGTATTTGCTGCATTAAGAACATAGTGGCAGATGTAGCATGGCAGGAAGCAACTAAAGCTTAAAACCTTGGGGAAATGAAAGACAGAAAAACAAAAATTTGGGAGTGTTTGTTCTTCCTCGTGAGTCTTTTGTTTTTGGCTCCATTTTTACTTGTCGTTCACCAAATATGGAAGGTAAGCTGTTATTATATAATTGTGCTGGTAAAAGACAAGTTTAGAAATTATGTAGAGATCAACTTTTATTTACTTCTTATGGAAAAGAGTAGGTATTAAAACGTGCTTCTGGTCTCTGAGGAATACAGACATATGGCTGTTCTTTGCAGGGTTTACCAAACAGAATATTGGGTTAGCTTTGTAAGGCTCCTCAGGCACTGGAATACTTGAGAGTGAAGCAGAGGATGTGGGGCAGAGAGTGTTTTCTGTGTTATTTATAAACCTGAAAGGGAAGTACGTAAAATACGTTCACAAGGAATACATTTAGCTCTTAACTTTTTTTACATTGGTATTAATCATGGTATCTGAGTCCAGACTGTCTTATTTGGTGGGGATTAGAGGGGGGTGTGATATAAAAAGATAAATATAGACTATTAAATTACAGTTTAACATGATAGCTATATTTTTTATTTCCTTGTATGAAATAAATCTGGGATTTAAAAATAACAAATCTGTTCAGTGTTCTGTTATACCTTCATATGTTGTACATATATATGCTTTTGTATATAGGAAGGTATTTATCTCATAAGAAAGATTATATGTTATTTCTTCTAGTGAAACTTCTATGTCAGTTAAATATTAAACATTCTCTTTTAGAAGGGAAGCATTGTAGAAAAAAATATTAATCGTATTTTTCTATTTTCCCTCTTGCAGTGGATCTGTACAATAAATAACATATCTAAACAGATATATTTAAGTGAAAACCCAGAGGTAATATTTTTATTTTATGTATCCAGATATGGCAAAATTGAATAATTCTGTGGCTTATATGGCTTTTATTGTATTTTCTCAAGTTCTGTAATCTTTTAATTTGCCCTTGAATGGGCAGCTTTCGTATATCATGAATAGAATGAGTATCTGGTCTTCCTAGAACAGTAAATTATTTCAGAACGTACTGAAATCAGTCAACCAACAAATGTAAGTAGACATCAACCTTGTGTTTAGCACCATGTTGAGCACCATGGAGAAAGGGGATATAGAAGAAAAATAGGCCATGGCCTCTGCCCTCCAGGAGCTTATGTATGTGGGAAGAAAAAACTAAAACTTTAAGTAACATTTCATATAAATTGAAAGTGTATGGTGATGACTGAAAGCTTAAGATTTCGTAATATTAAGATCAGTATGGATTCTAGTTTTAGAGAAAACTCTGTGGAGATGGCAGAAACCTGAGCTAGGTAGGATTTGTCCAGATTTTGAGGAATTTTGTGAAATTAGTTGTATAATTAGAATTGAAAGGTCTTGTTGGAGAATAATAGAAAACTGAAATGTGCATACAAATCACCTGGGGACCTTGTTAAAATGCATATTACGTTTCAGTAGGTCTGGGGTGAGGCAGCCTGAACTCTCAAGTTTTGCCAGTTATGCTTTGAGTAGTGGGTATCAAATCACATGAACTCAGCAGTGTAGACAGAGTTGTAGATGCAGTCCAAACATGCAGGCAGAACCCGGGGTGCAGAGAACTCTGGAAGGACCAGTGAGTCCTAACTGCAGTGTAGTTGGGAAAAGACTTGGTTTAAGAGAGGAGCCATCTGACCTCTGCCAGTCTTGGTAGGCCCAGCTAGGCTGTGAACCCGGCAGCCTCCCAGGGCTGTTTGGGGCTGATGGGAGGCTGGGGGTAGGGGTTACGGTTTCAGTTGAGGCAGATGGGGGCTAATTTCTCTAGGAAGCCCTACCCTTCTAAGTCTTAAACTGTTGTTGGTGTAGCGGTTAATTAGACAGGACTGTTGGGGGACATGTAGGAGGCCATTATAGTTTAGGCACAAATTGAGGGTCTGAACATGGTGGTAACCTGAAGGAAGAGAGAAGAATGAATCATAGAAACAGGTAAAAAGAAATTGGCTGGACTAGTTAGTAACTGACGGATGTAAAGGATGAAGAAACCGACCAACATAAAGGATGAAGGAGATAAAGATGACCTCCAGGTTTTAAGCCCAAATGAAGGGAAGAACAATTTGGAAAAGAAGAGTTCTGTTTTTACCATAATGGTTTTGAGGTGCCATCCAAGACACATATGATTTGGATGCCTAGGAAAAAAGTTTTGAACTAAAGAAGCAAAATCTCATGACCTGAAAAATATTAGTTATTTCTGTTAGTTTTATAATGATCTAATGAGTTTAATCTAAGAATATCAGTGCTAACTGTAGAGAAGTCTTCTGCTTTTAGTAACTTGATCTCCTGCCAAACTTGCTTTTTCTTTCTGTTATGTCACTTGGGAACAACAAAAAATTAAAATGCAAATTAGATGACTTGTTAATACCTAAGGAATACAAAGGGAATATAGTGTTTGGATTTGAATAAGTCAGGCTTATTGTACTCTCCTGCCAATTATCAGAGGTCAGAGTTTTAATATTTTCCAGATTATCCAGAATTATTTTATTCATATTAATGAGAAGAAATTTTGATCAATTTGTGGCATTGTCTTTATACTTTTGCTAAGACACAGAAGTGCAAAAATGTTTTGTGATTAATTTTTCTAATGTACATGCTATTTTATTTAGCTTGTGTTTTAAATAATGTTTTAAATTATTTAATAAGTTTTAAAATATTTCTTATGGAAAGCTTTTTTCAAATTTGGCCGAAAATATCCATGATAACTTTATTAATAAATACACAGATATTTCTGAGCATAAATACATTCTGGAAAATCATGAAAACTTCAGGATCATGGTTATAAAATACTTTAATATTTTGTGACTGTTTCCTACTCCTTTTAAATTTCTTTATTTAGCAAATTTGAGTGCCCATATGCTAGGCACTGTACTAGGCGCTAGCAATACAAACCTTAATCTAAAAAAAATTTGATAGTTAAAATTTAAAGAAAAAATATTTCCTATTATGTATATTAGTAGAAAAAAATCAGATTTTCCCCCTAGATTTACAGGAAGTAAGAGGAAACTTAAGTTATAATGTTGTGAAGTTAATTATGTGTCTTAATACTAAGACAAGAGAATGTGGAACAACTTTAGTAACTTCAATTTACATTTTAAGTGTAACTCAGGGACATTCTGACAGTTCAGAGAGTTATATTTAAACTTTTGGTTTTCTTGCTTTACTAATTCATCCTTTTTTTAAAAAACAATAGGAAATTGCTGCACGGGTAAATCAGTCAGCTTTGGAAGCTGTCACTCCTTCCCCGTCTTTCCAGCAGAGGCACGAGAGCCTGCGGCCAGCAGGGTGAGTTACCAGTCTCTGGGCTCTTTAAAGAACTATATGGGCTATTGAAAGTGTTAGCAAACACTTTGATTTTAGCAGTGCTAGTTACATTAGTACGAAATAGTTCTAGAAAATGTATTTCAAATCGGTAAATTTACCAGCAAGAGTGCTAAATAAATGATGATTCCAAATTTCCCTTGTGTTTATCTCTAGGTTAAAGTGATTTACGTTTCTGAATTTAGTAATTGGAAAGAAAAAGTCTTTTGATAAAGTCTTTTGACAAAGTAGCTGTGATTTGGGATTGTGTTATTTAAAATTTGTTCTCATCGACTTATAAAATTTTATTTTCTTTTCTCATAGTTTAAGTGTTTAATTTCCAAAAGAGAAAACTAAATGCAATGCCTTCTTGTTTTCTTCTGTGCTTAGACAATCTTGGCCACTGACAGCTCGAACCAGCAGTTCAGGATCCATAGGATCTGAGTCCACAAATTTGGCTGCCCTCTCTCTAGATTCTCTCGTTGCTCCAGACACCCCAATACAGTTTGACATCATTTCTCCTGTGTGTGAAGATCAGCCTGGCCAGGCAAAAGCCTCTGGCCAGGGAGGCAGGTGGGTAATAGGAAGGTCTGTAGGGCTGTAAGGCTTATGAGCCAATTTCTACAGTTGAGAGCCATCTCTCATATACCTTGTGCATCAGCTATGTTTTACTTTCTTTGTTTAATTACCTAACAGAATTTTGATAGTTGAAGAAGAATCATGCAGGCTTTTCTCTGTTTTTTGCCTCAGTTAAATGAGTTAAGATAATTTAGTTTTAAAAATACTCAATTCTGAATTGTTTATCAGATCTACTTCTAAGGTATCTACTCTTAAAATTACAGAAGAAAGTTGACAGTCCTATTTTTACATCATGACAATATTTTTAAAATTCTTGAGAGTAATACATGTGCTACAGGTTTATTAGAAAACGTTATCTAGGGGACTTCCCTGGTGGTCCAGTGGGTAGGACTCTGTGCTTCCAATGCAGGGGGCCTGGCTTCGATCCCTGTTTGGGGAACTAGATCCCGCATGCATGCCACAACTAAGAAGTCCACATGATGCAACTAAGAAACCCGCATGCCGCAACTAAAAAAAAAAAAAGTTATCTTGTGTCAGAATAAGAAATCTCCAGGAAGGAACTCAAACATTGTCATGCTATGAATTATTAATGAATTATCTTTTATTTATATAATGAGAAATCCTTGTCAAAGCAGTTAAAATTTTTCTTTGGCTATAGATGAAGGAAACGTGGCTTAAGACAAATCATTTATTAAGTACGTGGGGCACCTAATAAATTGACAATGTAGTAATTTGGATATACATGGCCATGACCAAGAAAAGATAATTTACTCTTGATCACAGAAATATACTTAGCATTTGATATGATAGGTCAGACATGTATTAGGGAGATCAATTTCATGTTATCTTAAAGCCAGTGTTATTTTAGAACCACTTAGCTCTCTGTTTGTCTATAAAACCTACTTTGGATTGTACTTTTCTTCCTTCGTTGCGGGTGTGTCATGAGCCATGCACACTAAGGAGGGAGGTAGCTTCCATCTCTAGTTAGCTTTTCTTCTTGCATTCTGTTACGTATGTCTTGAGAAATACAGGTTTAAAACTAGAAAATGTTCAAATTATCATAGTTAACTTGCGACATGTACTTAGAGGACCTAAAAAAAGGTTTTTTACAATCCAAGGAAATTCCTGGCATTTTTCTCATGTACCTAAAGTTGAAGCTAAATTAGCCATTCCTCTGTCCTACTTTATTTAAATTCAAGAACTTTTGCAACATGTTTTATTATAATGTTGATTTTTGTGTGTTTATGGCTAAACATGCAATCTGTCCACATCTTCTAAAATACAGCAACTTTGAGTTCAGCCTATTAACTTAGTGTGAGGGCAGAGGCCTTCATCACAAGTTAGTTGGTCATCAGTAGTGTTCCTTAACAGGAAGGGGTATTTTGGAGCTTTTTTAAAATGTGTGTACAAGGTTTTGTGACTTTTAGTTTTTAACTCTGGGTTCAATGATTGAGATTCCTTCCATGTGGCTCATGGTTACTGACCTCTGGTTCATAATTTTTTAAAATACTTTTCAGGCGTACAAATCCATTTGGAGAATCTGGAGGAGGTACAAAATCTGAAACTGAAGGTAAAACAAGTGTAGTATTCTTATATTTTAGAAATTCTCAGAGCAGTAAACTGTGTGAAGAATTTGATGTTTACATTTGTTTTGCTGTATGCTGTTTTAATGGTATCTATACTTCACAGTTTTCTCTTTTCACTCATAGTACACTTAAATAACAGAACTTAATCAAACTTAAGATTTCATTATTCACACAAAATTATAGATTATGATACTTTTGACCTCATAGTCAAATTTTCATTCCATAAGATATCCTTTGACCTTTTCCTAGCAGCTGTTTTCTTCTGGTTTTGGAGCACAACTTTTTTTTTCTTTTTCCCATAGCTATTTACTTTGATATAATTTCAAACTTACAGAAAAGCTGTAAGCATAGTAAAAGGAATTCTTTTTAACTCAGAAGTACCAATTGCCAAAGCATAACCTTTTGCTCTTTGAGTTTGAGATCTTAATTTTTCTATAAGATGAACACTGTAGTTAGGAGTTATTTCTAAATGCTTCTGCTGTGTTGAATTTTTCACTGGAAAACCTAAAGAAAGCAGTGTATTTTATTCCTTAGGAAAAGAAATTTGGGATTTAAAAATACATAATGTACCTTGTTTTGTTGTAGATTCTATTCTTCATCAGTTGTTTATTGTCCGATTCCTTGGTTCTATGGAGGTGAAATCAGATGACAATCCAGATGTTGTTTATGAAACAATGCGCCAAATCTTAGCTGCCCGGGCCATCCATAACATCTTTCGTATGACAGAATCACATTTATTAGTCTCTTGTGATTGTTTAAAGTAAGTAGTAACCTGTCCCTCAAAAAACTGTAGGAAAAAATGTTTACATAACTTTAGCCTAATTAAAATTTGTCTCCCAAATTTTTAATTATTATTATAGGTTAATTGATCCACAAACACAAGTTACAAGGCTCATGGTGAGTTCTGCAATGTTTAAAGCTTTATTTTAAGTCTCTTTGTACATATACACATCTTACATCTTTATAATAATCCTGATTCTATATATTCAGATATGGTAGCATGAATTATGATTGGTCTTTAGGGTGTTATAATTGAGTCTATGGCTATCTCTACAAAAAAGTTGTAACATTCCGTGTAACTTAAAGAATCAGTGCAATCTGGTGTGATACTTAGTATTTATATTTATCCCTCAGTTAGGAAGCATATATCATACACTAAAGAAACTAAAAAGTAAATTAAGGGATTAAAAGGCCAACATGATTGGGTTTGTTTTATAATTATCTGTTTTGAAATAGCTGCAGGCATGTGCTTCTATTTAATCATTTAATAATATAGACCATTTTTGTTACTGAATTTGAATTTGTAAAATGTGTTAATGACTAATAAAACAAATTCAGTATTCAACAACCTTTTAATTTCCTGACAATCCAAACCAAATATGACATTGTTTGTTCTTGGATTACCATTCGGTTAAGAAAAACAATTGACTCTAATGTTCTATTTAGGATGTTAAACAACTTAGTACATGAGTTTGTCATATATAAGAGGGCTGTTTTAATGGTTTGAAAAATTTCATGTTTGCTTCTGATGTTTTCTGTGGCAGTTTCCATTACCCAGTGTAGTTCTGTATGCTACACACCAGGAAAATAAGAGGCTTTTTGGATTTGTTCTTCGGACATCAGGAGGGAGAAGTGAAAGTAATCTGTCATCAGTCTGCTATATATTTGAATCAAACAATGAGGGTGAAAAGGTACGTGGCTTTTCAAAATGTGTTTGTTGTGAAATACATGTCATAGTCAAAGTTCTTACTAAGATTTCTGGAGAAAAACTCCCAAACTTTGCCTAGTCCAACTGAGTTGCTTGACCAAAGCCTCTTGTTTTGAGGAGAGCTGAGCTGATGGGTTGGGCCATCTGACTCCACAAACCTGTATCTTCCTGGCCATTGATAGCTGTTGCAATCTTCTGGCTTTGTTAACTTATCCTGGGAATGCAAAATATTCCCATAATCAGCCATTTCCAAATGTCTTCATCTTAGAGTAGCAGCGGCAGCTGCTTGCTTTCTTCTTTGCAACTTTACCATCTCAGTAATGAATCTGAGATAACAAGAAGTGGGGTATGTGAAAGAGATGAGAGCCAGCAGTGGGAGCTCACAGACTCTGAAGAAAATACACAAAGGATTGGTTTTGGGACTGGAACATTCTTAAATCAGCTTTTGTTTGAAGCAGTGTATTAAAATGAGTTATAAAACTAGTTAACATCAGCCATTTGGATACTTGATGTAAGAACTGCCTGAGTTTTTCTTACTTGTTCCCCCTTTAGATTTGTGATTCTGTTGGACTGGCAAAACAGATAGCTTTGCATGCAGAACTGGTAAGAATCCAAGACACTTAATTATCCAAGAATGTTAACTAAAGTAATATAAGATCTTTCATATTAGCAAGTAAATAAAAATGATTTTGCTATGCAAGGTTAACAATAGATGCTATTGCTGATACATAGCATTTAGAATTTGGATAAATGGCTAACATTAGAATGTAAATTTTTGGTGTGCTTTCTCATATAAATGCAAATAATAATTTGAAAAGGTTACAAAGGTAATATTAATTGACAAGTTAAAATTTAAAGTTATTTCATATTTAATTCATTAGTTGTATTCATCTGGTCTTCAGGATCGCAGGGCATCAGAAAAACAAAAAGAAATAGAGAGAGTAAAAGAGAAGCAACAGAAAGAACTCAGTAAACAAAAACAAATTGAAAAGGTATGCAGTCCTAATGTCTAGATCTTCTCTGACTAGATATGATGTTTATGAAGAGTTTCCTTAATTCAGCACTGTGACTTTCATATTGGAATTTTCAAGTGAAGGTCTGTTTCTCCTTGCTCAGCCACTTCATACATAACCAGATGATTCATAGCATAGTAGAAAAGGATGACATCTGTCTTCTTGGCTGCGCCGCACGGCTTGTGGGATCTTAGTTCCCCAACCAGGGATTGAACCGGGTCCCTTGTCTGTGAGAGCTCGGAGTCCCAACCACCGGACTGCCAGGGAATTCCTGACATCTGTCTTCTGATACAATGTTTACATTATAGTTATATTGACATGTAGTGTGACTTGCTGTTTAGCAAACATACTACATATTCCAGAAGAGGCTGGAAGGTTGTCTCTGTCAAAGTAGGTCTTTTGAGAGGAGATATATATATGGCTTTCATCAATGGTAGTTGTGTGTGTGTGTGTGTGTGTGTGTGTGTGTGTATACACACACACACACACACATACATATATATTAGAGAGAGGGAAGGGAGGGGATGTGGAGTGATTCATTATGAGCCTTTTCTGTAGTTTATAATGAGAGATAATGATGGCTTGAATGTAAGTTGTTGGCCATAAAAATGGAGAAGAGTGACATGTTGGCTTTTATAGGCTTTCTAGAAAAGTGTCAGAATTTACTTTGGTGTTGCACTGGTTGTGTGTAGTCTTTCTTTTCAGTAAGTTGCCAGAATTATGCATACATATTTATGACAGAAGAGTTGAAGTGGCTCTCAAGTATGTATTTAACTGCTTAGTTTCCTATTTGATTGCAAACAATTAACTTTAAGTTTCTTTTCTGTCTTTTCCACTAGGACTTAGAAGAACAAAGTCGGTTGATAGCTGCTTCCAGTAGACCAAACCAAGCCAGTAGTGAGGGGCAGTTTGTTGTCCTTAGCAGTAGCCAGTCAGAAGAGAGTGATTTGGGAGAAGAAGGAAAGAAGAGAGAATCAGAAGCATAAACTTATCCTTACTTTTTGGTTGATATTCGCCCCCCACCCCTTTGAATTTGTTGACAATTTCTGTGGTGAAGTGGCACAAGGTAACAACAATGCTGAACTATCAAGGAGACTAAAATTTATATTTGCTTGTTTATTTTAACTTCATTTTTTAAACTATGACTGACCTTGATAACTTAGGTTTGCATTGATTTTTTTTTCCCCTTAGAAATAATATACTATGCAGTAACTTCAAATTCCACATGTCTAAAAGAAACCTGTTCATATCCCTGAAGTAGATTGCTGAGGAATTACAGTTGCTCAAGCCTGTTCTTCCTTCAAATTGTGAACTTATTACCTTGCATTGTAATTGGCTGTGACCATAAGAAATCATTTATTCTTCAGCTTCAGGTATTCATGGATATGCTCCCTCTCTTTCATTAGGAACAATTGCTGGCAGTGAGGAAGCTTTTGACTGAATAGGTTTAAAATCCTTATACAGATAATTCTACAAGTTTGCAAATATTTTAACAATGTTAAATGTGCAATAGAACTTTTACAAAATAATTAGAATAGAGATTTTAGACTTAAGGTTTCAAGTTGTGGCAGGTGGTACTGTTGATTTCAGGGCATTTTCTTGGATTGCTCGCATTTCTCTGATGTACTACACCTGATGCCAGTGGGAAAGAAGCTTAAGTGTCTTCAGTTCAAGATTGCTACAGCCCTTGGCATTTTATTATCACATTCTTAGTTCTCAGGTTGGGACTTGAATTGTTGCTGCAGAGCAGTAATGGTTAAAATAAGATTTTGGAATTTATTAAAAGGGATTTTTTTTTTGTTCAAATACATTTTAGATTAGGATTTAACATGTAAAGATATTGTTACAGGATACATTGTATTTTCTGCATTGTGTGAAAAAATTTTTTTTGAAAATCAAGTGACATTTAGAAAGAAGTTCTATAGCAATTGTTTCCTGCTTAAAAATTCTCAGAATTTAGTTTAAAAATGTAATCTTTTAAATTTCAGACTGATAGCCCACAGTATTTTCATAATTCCATGTTTTTATAAAATACTGATCATCACTTTATATCCGTGAAGGCAAATAATATATGAGAATAGAATAATTTGCACTAATTATTGTAAATACTTGTCCTCTTTAAATAAGTAGAGTGAAAGGCCTAATTCCATGAAAGACTGAAAAGCAATTGAGTGCTTGTTATAGGAGAGTCAACCCAGGAAGGATTTTAACCTGGTGCCAAGGTTAAAATGACGTTTCTCTACTGCCTAATTCTGTGTCAAAACTTTTTTTTTTAACTTGGATTTTTAACATTGCTGATAGAAATTATGTTCCTGTGTTTCACATGTAAAAGTATATATGGCCAAGTTAAATACATTGAATAAAATATTTTACACAGTCATGCATTTAAAATTTTCAAGAGATTAGCCACTAAGACTAATTTTACAAGGGAAAAGCCTTTTGTTATTTAACATATAGTTTTTTCTTTTTAGTTCTGATTTAGAAATGGCATATAGTTCTCACAATATAGTGTGGGTGTTTCACACTGTATATACATTGTTTTCTGTAGGAATGGGATAGATAATTATATATAGGATCATCATTTTTTTTAGCCATGTGCCAAATGGGAATAATGATTACTTAATCATTATTTTGAAGCCTTATGTTACCAAAACATATAGTAAAAAAGTAGAAATTTATGGAATACTTTTTGAAAAAAGTTTATTTTGTCCTTGCTAAAGGGAATGCTTTCACAGTAGTTTGTGTATCATTCCTTTTGTAGAAATTGAAATTTCTTCTGTGGTCAGCATTTGCTTAGTCATGGCGGTCCTGCTTTTAAGACCTTTTTGAGAATTAGTAAGCTTTTGTTTCAGTAAGTCTTTTACTATAAAGTTGTCACCTCACTTAGTTCAGGTGTAACTTGTCAGCCACCGTGCAGGGAAGGTGGTCAGCATTAGGAGGCAGTTTTACTAGGCTGGTGCTTTGCATGGTAGTGTACTACAGCCCTTGGTGAGCACTCTGGGTCAAAGTGTAGGCTAAAATTAAGGGTACTGGCAGACTTAGGGATGCTGGACCGACTTGTGGTTCCTTTTACGTCATGTTTTGATAGGAATTTCCACAATAATACACCCATGTCTATAGGTCAGACCAAAGTGCTTTCCAGTGCCAAATAGAAGTTATGTGTGGGTTTAACAATTTTAGATGATTCAACTTCTGTTCCATTACTGTAGGACCATAGAACAATTCCATTACTGCAGATATTTAAGGATCAACTTTAATAAATTCTGTGTTTTGTTTAAGGAAGGCTCCCCATGGATTTCTGTGTAATGTTAAAGCTGATCTTTGTTACCCTTTGAAATCCCTTCAAGCTTTTGGATGTTTTGGTGGTGATTGAATTAGATTGAACTTGCACTTAATGGTTTTAGAAATTAACAAAACTGATTCTTTAAAAGGAAAGAAATTAAGTCTACTTAATTCTGCTAGGCACTCTTGCTACCTATGTCAACAGTACTTTTGTAACTATGGTAGTGAAGTCAATAGATAGGAAACTGATGATTCCTTCCCCCTTGAAAAATTGGGAAAACTTGCTAACAAGGGACTAAAACTGTTGCCTTGAACACAGTCCCCAGTCTAGTTTTTGCCATGTTTACAATGATTACTTTGTGTTTAATTTCAAAAGAATTCTCAGATTCCACAGTCTAGGGGTGGTAAATTTATGTTACTTTTATGCTTGAGGAAAGGATAGTAGGGTGTGCATACCATTCTACATAACATATAATCATATGTGGTAAAGGCATCTGAGTTAATTTTGAGTTATATATAGGAACTGCAAGTATTTAAGATTTGAATCTTCTTATACCTGCTGACAGACCCTAAGAGCCTGTGTTTTGTAAAACCTCTGCCACCCAAATTAATAAAATGAAAATATTAACATTGGTTTTGATAACAGCCTCCTAGCATTCAGACTGTACTTTAAATATTCAAACACATTGATTGTAGCAAGCAAGCCTTTGACTTTATTTTTATCAAGTTTGGCTTACTTTTCTTTCATGAGATTTTTTTCTTCCGTATTAATTAATAATACATAATAATTTGAAACTGGAACTATATTATACTTTTTAACTAATCTCTTGTGGCTGTACTCGTGTAATTTACTTAGGTTAATATGAGAACTGGGGATTAAGTTATAACTAATGTGCAAAACCACTTTGTATATTTGGTGATTTTGTAATGTAAGTGAATTGGTTCATATTTCACTGATATTGTTAATCATGCATATACAATTAAAAATTATGCTTCATTTCCCTTTAGAATTAAATTTGAAAAACTCGACTTTATGTAATGGTGGTATACATGTGGAGTGAAGAACTTATTTTTTCATTTCGTCAAAATAAGTATTCCTGACAAGGCTTCAGGAAATATGCTGTTAGGATATTTTTAATGTATAATAAAGTCCATGATTTTTTATAGTCTTTTTTGTATGAAATATTTGATATATACTCTGAATTTTACTTCTCCAAGTAATTTCAAATGATGCTTATAAAACAATTGGACTTTTTCTTAATCTGTTATGATACTGTTATTACACATCTAACCCTATTGCAATTCCATAACAGCTAAAATGGGAAAAACATGTCACTTATGGGGAAATAATACTAATTCATATCTAGTGACTTTTTTCCTTTAGAAAAATTAAGAGAATTTTCAGTCATTACCCTAGACATGTTACAATGTATACTTGCTATGTTGGGTCCTATTCAAAGAAATTCCTGTAATTTAAAGGGTCAGGTTATTGTGTACACCAGCTTAAGTGGCTTGGGCCTGTAGTTTTAATACTAATGCATATTCATCCCCTGTGCTCTTTATGGTTTCCTGTAGCACTTACCAAGTTCTGTTCTTCTACTGGCAGTTTGTTTTAATTTGTTTTGAATTTTATAAAATGTATACACTTGTAGAAGGTCCAGGGAGTGGATGAAATTAACTTCAGAATTATGTAATTTATCTAGGTGCATGTATATCTTATATATATTTGTGTATCGACATACATATAATCTAGCACCCATTTATAAACAGACACCACAATTTGATTTAAAAAAAATAAAAACTATTCATGCCAGCTAATTTTGCAAATTTTTTATGTGAAAACTGTATTATTAGTAATTTTAAGTCTGTGCTTACTGAAATAGTCTGTATAGCCATGAATTCCTACATCAGAAAGAAATCATATAACTTCAGTTTCCTTAAGAAGGACTATTTATGCTAAAAAAAAAAAAGTATGCTAAGACTAAACATATAAACATCAAGCTATAACTGACTGGGCCTGTGGTCATCATCCTGCCTCTCTGTTCTCTCTGTTAATGTGCCATATAATGGTACACAGGTATGGCTGAATGAATGTCTTCTTAGTTTCTTTCCTCGCTTCCACATACAGAAACCTGTACTTAAATGCAGCATAGAATATATAGAAATAAAATTTTAAACTAACACCTATAACTGCTTCTATCAGTGAGCCCCTCCTCTGTGTCTAGTAGTCGACTAGGTTCAGTACAGAAATCATAAGCCATCATCCATTCGAAAACACTTGTAGTGATCACATTAACCAATAAATGGCAACCCTTAGCCAGGGTTTTGCAGAAAGAAGGAACGCATGTATCCCATTAATGATGAAATCGCAATTGAAGGTTCTCTTTCAATTAACTGAATTACCTCAGTAATGGACTCTGCAAGTAAACAGACACTAAGCTGGCCTTGGGACTTTTGTACAAGAACAGCTAATTTTAGGGTCATGTACTGGGGTCAATACTTTATTCATTGCAGTCACTAAGACATTTTATATATGTACTTCTCTATAAGAAGGATTACTGTTAATTCAGAATTATCTTGAATTATCAGAGGTAGCATTTATTATTTTGAGCATGTAGAAATGTGGATTTATACATTTAATGTAAGATGAATACAGCATTAGAACTGATGTATCTTAGTTAATTGAAATTTTTACTGTTTGGGTTTTATTTTTACAAAACTGCCTTTCAGAATGCCAGCCATCTGTTGAGAGGCTATGTTCAGAGTGACTTTTTAAAGAATGTAGACTGCATTGAGATTTTAGTTGCTAGGTAAAGTGAGCAATATGAATCAATGTAACAAGTCACATTTTAAGAAAGACATCTGCGGAATTATATACCTTTTCATCCAGAATAGTTTGATTACCAGGTTCCTGTGAAAATTCCTTGTTCATAAAGGTCATATTCTTTGTAAAGGACATATGCCTTTAGACGATTGGGTAACGGAAGAAATGACATGAAGATGGGGCAGCGCAAATGTAAACGTCCCATACACTTCCGGATCTTGAGGCGGCACAAATGTTTCAGGGAGCGAGGGTTTGCTAAAATGAAAAACAGGCACATTATCCAAAAGAAAGAATTGCTTCACTTTTTAGTGATCTTTAGCAAATGTATTTTATACTTAAGCCACCAAGATTTTCATTTGCTGTGACTAAATGGAAAAGGTAATTGGGAAATAGCTTTCCACTTCTCACTGCAGATCTCGTAGCTGTGGTTTCAGAGCCATGTCATGTTAGAGTCCAAAGACTGGCATCAGTTGTGGGTCTGGCCTGTGAGACCTAACGCTCCTACATCTGTGTGTATTAACCCCCAGTCCTGCCCCTTGGGGTCAGGCTAAAAACTAAAGATCACTACCTGTGGGGAAATTATATGAAAGAAATTCTTCTTAATTTGACTTATGTGCTACTGTGAAAGAATTTGATTTGAAGGGTCATTTAATATCCTCTGTAGCCTTAGATCTTAGCATTTTCTCATCCCTGTTTTTAGTGCCATTTCATAGTTTTTAATTCCTGTGTCTGTGGTGTACCATAGGATCAGAAGAAAAGTATTATCTACCTATATAATAAATAATTACCTAACAGATTTTATCTATTGGGAAATGGTAGTAAGTACAAATTAAGTGCAGTTATAAATGGTAACATTTTTTAGATAGGAATAGTATTTTTCTTGGTTTCTTTAGGTCAAGCTTTTAACTGAAGAGAACAATGTTCTACAAAAGAAATAAGAGTTCAGTTAGTATTTTTTGGTAAGAATCGTCAAGAAAGAAAGATACTCACTCAAGATAAAATGGATTTCTGACCAGAGCCTCTGTTTTTGGAGCACAGCTTTCAACTTTGAACAGATCCTAACTTGATCAACATAATCAAGCATCACTCGAACAACCTTTCCAGAGAGATGTTGCAGCCATGACAAAGTTATTACTTCGCAGAACTGAGGAAGAAAATCAGAACTATGAAAGTAAATGGAAAACTAAGTATCTGTGGTTTAACACAGTAATCAAAAGAACACTAAACTCGGAGTCAAGAACCAAGGTTTGAAGTTCCTCATTTATAAACTAAGGTGTTGAACAAGAAAATATTTCTTAGCTCTAACATTTGGAAAAATATTTACTACCAAGTCTTCCAAACTTTATAAGATACAAGGGTTTAAAACAGACTGTTACCTAATAGCTTTTATCCCCTTTGGTTGCCTGCATGGCTGTGTGGAATAAAGATTACCTTTCCAGCTTCACTTGCATCTAGATGTGGCCATCTGACTAAGTTCTAGCCAATGAGATGTCAATGGAAGTGTGAGCAACTTCCAGAATGCTGTTAAAGGAAGAGCAAGGTGTGTGCTGCTTCCTCCTGCCTGCCTTCCTGCTGGTTGGACTGTGGATGTGAGTTTCTCCTGTGAATCATGGAACTGTCCAATTAGAAGTCTATTTCCTCTCGCCTTTATTTATAGGAGAGGGAAGTAAGCCATCTTATTAGAGCCTCTCTTATTTGGGGTTTTCTATCATTCATAACCTATTCCCACTCTGATACTTGAAACGTATGATAGTTTCTGCCTTTAAGTAATTTACATGTCCTTACACAAGATGCCCATGTAAGAAGGCAAATAATACTATATGAAAAGTCAGGAAATAATACAAGATGACATATTGCTTAAATACCAAGTCCTACATTAATCATAACCTAAAAGTAATAAACAATATTAAAATATTTTCCTTTTCAGAATTGACTCAAAGTTCTTTCTCCATTTTATTTATATTTTCAGATTTTAATAATATGAATTCAAGTATCTGTAGTGCATCTATTGTGTGCTAAGCACAGATCTGTAAGCTGAGGAAAGTGGTGAACAAGAGCTTACATTCATGTATTTGTGGGGGAGATACATAATCAGTAAAATATTAAGAATTTCAGAAACCGATAAGTACTATAAAAGAAATGAAAAGCATTAAAGAGAATGATTAGGGAACAGAACTACCTTAGGTAAGATGCGTAAGGAAGGGCCTCTTTGAGGAGGTAACACTTGAAATGAGACCTGAAGGGTGGCAGCTATTTGAAAAATCAGGGGAAGAGCTCAAGTTGGGGAAAATAGAAGTGACCAATTAAGTAGGGGGAAAATAGGAGACTGTGGTGTGATGACAGCTAAGAGAAAAATGTCTCAAGAAGAGAGTGGTCAACTATATTTATTGTGATCCTTTTTTCATCAAAATGTGACCAAAGAAATCCATTAATCAAATGTTAGAGCCAAAAACCTAGGGGTACAAGTATCAGGAACCCAGGAACATTTTAGCTAGATAACTCACTTCTTCAAAGAAAAAACATAACTGGTATATAAGGCTGCGTTTATTTTTCACAGCCTTGTTCAGATGTTGCTTCATTTGTGAAACTCCCTAACTAGAGTTAAATCACTTTTTCCTCTGTTTCTATACCTTTTACATCTTTCTACTATCATGTTTATTTTATCATATATTTATCATATTAAAATCTTTCCCTCCATGAGCTTCTGGAGGGGATGGAGTTTTATCTTTTGCTGTAGTTCAGGGACACGGATAATGACTACATAGGGTGACACAGCCGATACTGTGCACTTACCATACTATCTTTGATAACTGTAGATGTCCAGCCTTCAACAAAAGTATAGAAAGGATGAACTTTGTCTCCATGAGGACAGTCAAAGCATCGCTCTGTGTCATACCCATAATTCAACAGCATCCTGAGCATGACTTCATCTTTCAGCGTGTATTGAAGTGCTGATGGGAAATGTAAAGGGTTGACTTTGCAGAAGTAATTAACGTTGGCCCCATGCCGTAGCAGCAGGCTTATCAGCTCATAGTTGCCCATCCTTAGGGCTACCTGGAGGCAGTTAACTGGGTCTTGATTAGGCAGAGCTCCAGCGCTCAGAAGCAGCTTAACTGAAGAGAGGTCACCATTTGATACAGCAAAATACAAAGCTGACTTCCTGTGGTCATCATAGTGTTTGCGAATTCTCTGGTCTAGCATGAAATTTACATCAAATCCAGCCTGGATGAGAAGTTCCAGGCATTTGGGGTGTGCTCCTGCTGCTGCACAGTGAACTGGACTGATGCCACTCCGCTTAATGGCAGCAAAATCTGTGACTGGAACCAAAATCTTCAGAGCTCTGAGAAAGAATTTCAAAGTGCATTAAAAAATAGTTTTTGTTAAGATGCTGCATTGACCTGTATATGATTGCTTTATACTAGCACTGGATGGTATTAGCATCAGTTGGTTTTTAGACACCCCAACCAAAAAAAAGCATGGTCCTGCATACAAAAACTCAGATACCACGTAAAGTTAAATGAAACTAAGGTATAGATATAAAACTCAGAATTACCCCAGTCAGTGAAACCTGAGGCTCCCCATATTGCCAAACGACCTGAAAATAAAATAGTTTTATGTCTCTTCAGGGTCTACAGAGGATGTCTGAATTTACCACTTTCTAGCTGGTCAAGAGTTTCTCACCTTTAAAAGGGGTGTTGGAGTTGTAGGATCAGAGGTGAAGAATATAAAATTCCCAGAAGCTGCCCCCCCTCCAAAACCCCATGGCTATTACTATTTCTATTATTTGCAATAATGTAGTTGAACTTACAACAAGTGGCCTCTGTCAGCTGCCACATGAATGGGCAGGTGGCCTGAATTCTTAGGGATGTTGGCATCAGCTCCATACTCTAGCAAGAGAGTCACAGAGTCTGGATTTCCTCCACTAGCTGCTTCAAGTAAGATGGAAGAAGAATCAGAGGCCTGACCAAGAGCATTAGCTCCTAGAAGGA